GAACGAAACAGTCAATGTGTCCGGGTAGAAATCTCAAACCTTAAATTATATATTAGCAAAAATTTACATTATTTAATTACAGTACATAAATATTGAGCAAAACACAAAAAAAAAGTTTTATTAAACTTTTTCTAGAAAATTACTATAAAATATAACAAACAAAATAAAATACCCTAACCTAATCACCCACCCATTCAGGCGATGCCAAACTGACCGAGGGCACCATCACCGGGCTGAAAAACATTAAACGCTCGGGCGAGTGCACACTCACCACAGACAAGGGCTTCGACGTGAAGGTGCAGTTCGGCGACAACAACATCGGCGCCCACTTTAAGGCTGCGCTAGATTTCATGGATTTGCACACAGAGGGCACCATTGATATCAAGATCGCCAACTTTGACACCAAGGTCGAAGTGTTTACCGACGCGGCCGGCAAATTGGCCATCAAGGACTTCCAGGTGGACGAGCTGAAAAAGGTGGGCATTGTTTTCCACGGCCCGATCGCACCCCTGGACGGCCTTGTTGACTTGTTGGGCGAGTCGTTTATTACCATATTCAACAAACAGGCCCGCGATTTGGTCGGCAAAGTGTTGAAGGGTATTGTGGAGAAAGAGCTCCAGAACCTTCATTTGTAATTGATCTATCATGATTACAATTATACACTGTATATTTATTAATTTTACATCTATAATAATAAATAAAAACAATTAATAATTACCATCAAATAATTGTTAAAATTAATTTTTTAATTAGCAAAATTGTTTTTATAAATTTTAAGTATATTTAAATGTTTAGTTAAAACGAGAAAGGTCATTACCAGTAAAGTTCTAGTGAACGCATTACAAACACTTAAATCAAACAAACACTTCAATTGCGATTAAATAGCAAACGATTATTATTAAGCCTTATAAAATAATCATTGTCTCTGTATGCACTAATAGTGCAAGGTTCAATCTGAATTTAAAGGTTATATGTATTTATGGTACAGTAGTAATATTTTACGGGCATTAGACCATGATAAAAATATAAATTAACAACATTATGTGTTTCAACAACAACAACACTATATTATCAATGTATTTAACAATCCATTATTACCTAATGATACCTTATTGACATTATTTTTACCATGTAAAATCATTCGTGACAGAATGTTAAAGATTCAAGAGTAATAATTATTTAAACAACATTTGATCATTTTTGAGAGATAAATATTACAAATAAATAATATAATCACAAGATTTAACATGATTGTTATAAACAATATAATATTTGAATGTCAAGTAAATTAATTCATAAATAAATTAGTTTTAAATGTTTATTAAGATTATTATAACCTACGCAAATAGACTAACATTCTTAGTATTAATACAATAACAATTTTAAATGTGTCTATTATATGTGTAGCAAAAGGCTAGATGAAACAAAATTTTTAAGTGGGTACGATAGAGATACTGTAAAATAGATGAACATAAACTTTTTTTTATAAATAACACATGATTGTTTTAGTTTGACAGACAAAACCGAGCATAATCAGCATTTATAAATGAAGGATCCGTTATAATCTAAATTGAAGCTTATTATTGAAGTGGGTAAGATTGTTTTTCAAACGTAAGTAAAAATTATCAGTCACATACTAAATAATTAATAAATAATGTTGCATATATATATTTTTGAAATTCTAAGAAATATTATAATCTTTCATTTGAAAAGATTAATTTATTAATTGTAAACTTATTAACCCTTTTAGGTGTAATTTATGGACAGTTCAATTAATTTATTTATCATCAAAATATTACTAAACATGGTATATAAGAAGGGTGAAACACAATAGAAAAGTTACCCTTGTGAATTAGTTTGAATAAAACAAATAAGGGTAAGTTTTAAAATCTAATTAATTATTAAATATTTTAAACTGTAAAATAGTTTTTAAACAGTTAACTAAAATTATAAATTATTTTGCACTTAGATCTATAATTCTCGAAAATGATGTCGAAAATTTTGTTCCTGGCATTTGTTGCCGCCGCTTACAGTCTACCCAGTACGTTAATTACCTTGAATCTATTATGACTTATTATTCAGCTAAAATTGCATTTATTAAAAATTATTACTTTATTACATTAAAAGTGTCCAACGAGGGTAATGCCGATAAATTGGTCGACCAATTGTTGGAAGTGGTGAAGGCCAAGTACGGCGCCCAATTGGACCCGATGCATTTGAACGACTCGGTCGCCGCTTTCAGCAAGAAGATCGGACTCATCACCTTCCATGGTAAAATAATTTAATTAATCATGCACATTTACTTAAAAACATACAAGTGAAGTTTTAAATATTTTAATAGATTAGTCTAAAATGTTTAGTAAGTGCAGTTGCAAGTTTTCTAATTTAAAAAACTGTTCATGAAACATTATAAAATGTAACTAGATAAACAATTGTCTGTGGCACTCCTATCAGGTATAAGCCACCAAACGCAAATTATATTTTATAGGAAAAAATATAATATTTAATTACAGTACATAACTATTGCATAAAACATAACCAGTTTTAATAACCACTTACACTAAACAAACTAAAATACCCTAACCTACTCACCCCCACCAATTTAGGCGATGCCAAACTGACCGAGGGCACCATCACCGGGCTGAAAAACATCAAACGCTCGGGTGAGTGCACAATGACCACCGACAAGGGGTTCGACGTGAAGGTGCAGTTCGGCGACAACAACATCGGCGCCCACTTTAAGGGACTCTTGGAATTCATGGATTTGCACACATCGGGCACCGTTGAGATTAAGATCGCCAACTTTGACACCAAGGTCGAAGTGATTACTGATGCCGCCGGCAAACTGGCCATCAAGGACTTCCAGGTGGATGAGCTGAAAAAGGTGGGCATCGTTTTCCACGGCCCCGTTGAGCCCCTGGATGGTATTGTTGACTTGTTGGGCGAGTCGTTTATTACCCTGTTCAATAAACAGTCCCGCGATTTGGTCGGTAAGATCTTGAAGGGTGTGGTCGAGAAAGAGCTCCAGAACCTTCATTTGTAATTGCAATGAAATAAAAGTCACCTAATGTGTATTTTTTTGTAATTGTTGTAAAATGGTACAAATAAAAGTGCAATTTTCAAACTATTTTTTGTTTTGTTCATGTTTTTTTTAATGATGGCTACAATTTACTTTAGTAGTTCTTAGTTTAAATCTTACTTGTTAGTTAAATAACGTTATATCTATTATTTTAAAACTATTTATATTTTGTTTAAATACATTAGTTTAACGTTAACTTAATTATTAATTATTTAGTATAAATATATTTGTTAATTTATTAAGATAAAAATTATTTTGAAATACAAAGTAATCTGTAGATACTAACATTTATTTGTATTTCATAATTTATAAATTAAAAAACTAATGTAAATTTATAGTAGTATATAGTAAAGTATTATTTTAGAATAGAGCAAATAATAGATAACATTAGTAACTTAACGTTAAATCACATTAACTTATTAATGCATCTGAAATATAAACTAATATAAATTTTAACAAAACATATTAAAACATCGATATTAAATTGAAAATATTTATATTATAATTAAATTGCAAACAGTTAAATGATTGTATGAAAAAATATACTGTAATATTATATGTATTTAATGATGAATTTAATAATTATGAACATGCATAGTAATTAATACCTTATAAATTTTACTAATTTTACTAACATTGTTTTTAATTAATAAAGCACGACATAGTCTTTAAAAAGAATGACAAAGTTTGTTTTAATTTAAGATGAATAATAACGTTTTATTACCACATAAGTGCAAGTAACCTGGAGTGCATCCAACCATGGTTTAATATATAGTACAAACCTTATCGTTTCTTAGGATAAATCTAGGGTAAATTTTTATAATGTTATTTATACTCTAGCAAGTTAAATGTAATGATTAAAATGAGCCATTATTAAAGTCACAGTATAAACAGTGTGAGAGACGATAAGGTACAAACATTGATGTAGTTTTCAAAAAAGTATTTCATATGAATTAATCAATTTAATTGCAGCATTATGCTTTATAATGAATTAATGATTTACACTTTAAGTCATCAAATTTTAATATGGTGTTATACCGAGCGTTCAAATGTAAGAACTTAGAAATTGCCTGCAATACACTCGATATATTGAAGTATTGGACATGAGGGAAAATAGCGAGAAAATTTGCCTTACTTGACTTTGAATAAGTGTAAAATTTTTATGCATTGTATGAACCAATTCATTTAAACTCTATTCAATACTTCAATATATTAGCTTCAA